GCCTGTTTGAAGAATTTAAAAAAAAAAGAGTTATTCTCCCACCACTAAAACACACCGAACCTTGTTGAAGATCACCATATTGAATTTTGTTAATTACGTCATTTCGCCATGGCCGAATTTGAGTATGATGTTGTCTGATATATGTATCATTGAACCAAACTTTATTGGTTTCTTTTGAAATTCGTTTTGGGGTAAAGTCTATCCCTCCCATCCTACGCATAGGCGACGTCATAGGTTGCACGCGATGGTGCCGCGAACAGAGTAATAAGTCACGTGACACAAACTGACAAACATGACTTCTTTTAATACATTTTTTATTACGTGGGGTATTTCCTCGCGAATACAATGTTTTGAAAAGGATTTGAAGAAAAATTTAGTTTGATTATGCTTTTAGTCCAAATATATCATCAGATCGCCTAGTTTGTACCGTGGAAGGTATATTTAATGTGTCTTAAAATGTTATTTTCTAATATCAAGGTAACAATTACTGTCGTGATAAATATAACACATGTAGATAGGTTTTTATTGGTCCTAGGAATATGTTTGCTAACTTCATTTCGAATCCGGGTGCTGCAATACGGGTGAGAGATACCGCTCGGTTGTAAAGATCATATTTTTATACTATCTACCTACATGTACATCATTGTCTTGATTATGTAATCATTCATTTAGAACCATGTCAATTTGGCTTTGAAATATCCAACCAGCGGCTGTCAGGCAGGATACGCCCACATTTTGCAAGATATGGATAGAGAACAAGTTAAAAACAAACGGGTTTTTTTGTACAAATAGAGGCAATAATCCAGAAAGTTATGGTTTGAAATGCGCAAATATCAAAAGGGACTGAGCTCTTTGGGATATAGGCCCTAAATTGGGATATCAAAATCGGATAAAAATTGTGACCTCTAGATAGTCCACAACGTTCGTATTGCATACTTTACACAATTTGCGCACAGAGAGCGGCCATTTTGTCGGGCAGTTTCATTTCGATTTTTCCCGAAATTCGAATTCAACCTTCATTATGGTGGAATAGTGATATATTTAAACGGTTTTTAAAATCCGAACTCAATCAAAAATACTGTGTAACGGTGATATATTCGAAGGTTTTTTTTAAATTGGATAATAATCACAAGTTAAAAACGCGATTTTTCGTACAATCAGGGACCATAATTCAGAAAGTTATGATCCACAGGAACCAATATCTTTGGGTTATAAACATGCATTTCAAGTTTAATCGAAATCCGATCAAAATTTTGACCACTAGAGGGTTCACAACTTTGATATACCAGATGTTATACACTATTTGCGTAGGAGAGGCGGCCATTTTGTCCTCCAGTTTTAGTCCGATTTTCACGAAATTCTAACTCAGCCAAAATTACGGTGTAACGGTGATTTAATTGAACATTTTTTTTTAAATCGGATAATAATTGTGACCTCTAGAGGGACCTTTAGCTAAAACGCGATTTTTACTACAATCAGGGGCCATAATTCAGGAAGTTACGATCTGATATGCGCGAATATCAACAGGAACCGAGATCTTTGGGTTATAAACGTACATTTCAAATTTCATCAAAATCAGAAGAAAATTGTGCATTGATATACCATATTTTTTACGTTATTTGAGTACGAGGGGCGGCCATTTTGTCGGCCAGTTTTGGTCCGATTTTTACGAAATTCGAACTCAACCACTCTTAGGGTGTAAAGGTGATATATTCAAACGTTTTTTTTTTTAAATCGGATAAAATTATGACCTCTATAGGGACAAAATGCTAAAAACAACGCGATTTTTCGTACAATCAGGAGCCATAATTCAGGAAGTTACCGCCCGATATGCGCGAATATCGAAAGGAACCGAGATCTTTGGGGTTATAAACTTACATTTCAAGTTTCATCAAAATCAGAAGAAAATTGTGACCTCTAGAGAGTCCACAACCTTGATATACCATATTTTTTACACTATTTGAGTACGAGGGGTGGCCATTCGGTCAGTTTTGGTCCGATTTTTACGAAATTCGAACTCAACTACCCTTAGGGTGTAACGGTGATATATTCAAATGTTTTTTTTTAAATCGGATAAAAAATTATGACCTCTATAGGGTCTACAAGCTAAAAACGCGTAATTCAGCAAATTAAAGTCCGATGCATGCCAATATCGAAAGGAACCGAGATCTTAGGGATATAAACCTATATTTCAAGTTTCGTTTAAATCAGATAAAAATTGTGACCTGTAGGGTGTCCACAAACAATTGTGCACGGACGGACCGACGGACCGTCGTCCGGACGAACAGGGGCGACGACAATATACGTCCACATGAACATGTTGGCGTAAAAAAATGGTCTGGCTCCGCAATTCAATGTTCAAAAGTATCTCAGTGACTTTATTGGTGCTTGTGTCTGTGTAGGCATTATATGCAAAGTCTTTCTGTATTTGCAGAGCCAATGGGTTATCCTGCTGTTCATTTTGTAATTGTATGATTGTCAAAGACTCTGATGGAACTTGTAAAAATCCCTTTTGAATGCTGTCAACGAATTTTTTATTGTTATACCATTGTAATTAATTTTGAAGTGGTATTTGTTTTACATTTTAGAGCTTTTTTTCGTGTTGTCGCTTATACATTGGGTATTGAGTTTTCGTGAAAAATTAATAAAAGTTTAATAAATATGTTTTCCACTTTAAATCACACAGCCAGCTTCATTCTGACTTTTATTTCATAGATATTGAAAGAAAACTATAGCAGGTAGGGTAAAATTGAAATAACGTCGGTGGCCATCTTTGATGACGTCATAGGGAATAACCTACCACATGGTGAGTGTCCACCCAAGTCCAAAATAATGACTAAACTACCTACTAAACATTTCTTCAAAGAAATTCTCCCTACTCAAACTTTCCTACAGAACCAAGGTCAGATCCAGGACTAATATGGATCAGTTGAATTGACGTTTTACACTTGTGATCCGGAATCTAGGAAAGTAAAATGCCAAGTACATCGGTGAAACACGCGGTGTTACAGACACGAAATATATGAACCCCCCAAATAAGGCAAATAAAGATAGTCGAGTTTGAAGCTGTAATAAATGTGGATGGGGTCATGGTGATAAGAAGGGGTACGTGCCCAAGATAAGCAGAGGACGGGATCATGGTTCAAGTCTGTAAATTGTGGGTCATGAAATACTTGGCGATGGGAACCAATTTAGTTGCAGTGGCTGCTTATAAATCGGTTTTCCGATATCGGTATCGAACTATTTTGATTTTAGATTAACTTTTATCACAACTAAAAATAAACTTTTCACTCGACTTTATCAAAATGAAGCGTAATTGTTAAAATCTATTTATCGAAAATAAACGTTTGTTAAACTGTTAATTTGCGTTGATTTTTATCTCGGTGGGGCCTGTTTCACGAAATTTTAACTAAAATAAAATCCAAATTTTAGTAATTGGATTGGATAATATTAGATTGATTTTAGTGCTTAGCCAATCAAAATTGAAGTATCTACTAAAATTTGAATTTTATCTTTAGTTAAGATTTCGAGAAACAGGGCCCTGGTGATCAGTTATATTCAGCGTGACGGAATTTCTGTACTGTAATTCCTTCACAATGTGAAAGGTAATTCCGTCACGCATGTTTTGCGCAACGAAGTTCAAATCTTTGGGATGATTTGTTTATTAAAAATTGTTTTTTCTATTAAAAATCTGTGATTCGCAGATTTAATGAAACATGTATAATTTTTTTGGGGGGTAATGCCAAATTGGGTAATTCCGTCACATGTTGTAGACCTTATTTCATAAAATCCAACTGGATTTTTAATCATTCCTCAGATATCCCCCATCTTATACCCCCCCCCCCCCCATTGGAATATACTATTACTGTATTATTTCGCCACTGTACATTTAAGACTGCACAATAAGGGGTACATGTAATTCCGTCACGGTGGAATCCATGATATGCGTCACACATAAAACATTAATATCAGGCGGTGGGAATGCCACGTCAATACTGGGCTACAGAGCCCCAAACTTCACCCAGATGTGTCCCGGGAATTAACATTTCTGGCATTAATCAGAGTATTTTCTGTCAATATTTATCGATGTATTCGGGTAAAAATGCTGCAGCAATCCTTGTCATATGGGAACCCGCACACCCCTTGAGCAATGGGAAGGTATGCAGAAATTATTCACCATGTAAACTGTAAGAAAGGATAAGAGGCTTCTGTCCCTACATAGCTTAATCGATTGATAGTTTGAACTTGGATTTCCGGGGACAAAGTTATTTAATAGCCGATAACCTGTAGAAGTCACCAGCATTAAATACGAAAGTACAACAATCATTAGGGATTGGCAAGGAAAATCTAACCGTGTACGTAAAAAACACTTTACAGTTCGAATTCTACTGAGCTACAACACTTAAATAATGTCTCCCCCCCCCTCCCACCTCCCCAACTACGTTATGAAAATCCTGGATCCGCCCCTGAACAATGCCACCAAGGACTATGAAACGAAATGACTCCCTGCCCCGAAAACGCGATTCTATGTCGTCTAACGGTCTAACGTGAAAATATTAGATCGATAGATCCAAGAGGCAGTCGATCAATAATCTAATTATTGTACACACATTTGATATACAAAGTTTGATTCTAGGCGTCTGTATTTTTACCGTCATTGAACTCATGTGATATACATTTATTGTTTGATATCATGTAGTATCATTTTGGGAGCAGTGGTGGCTAACCAGGTGGTCCCGGGTTCGCTCCCAGCGGTAGATGAGAAGTTCCTTTGGCAGTTGGAATTTGATATAAGAGTAGGCCCTATCGCCGGTGTCCGGGCAAAAATTTCACCTGGTTTTACAGGTTATATCGTCAGTTGGCCTGCTAAAGTTCAAATCTCAACAAATTAAAACCAATTAAAACAATAGTAAAATTTAATGAAATAATAGGTAAATATGAATGAAACAATAATACACTTTTTGTATTTCATGGTAATCTAATAATCATATCTTCCGCCTTCGTATCCGCCAAATTCTCCTCTATAATTATTGGTTAACATTGGTCGAAAAGATCTGAATAAGCCCATATAAGGGAACCTATTCAAATATCTATTATATTGGTTCCGGAAACCGTAATTCTGGAAACCGTATTCATAATTATCTGCGTAATCTTCTACATATGTATTAAACCCACCTGTAACACAGTAAATATATTTATTAATAAGTTCTGAATAAAAGAAAACCCATACAGGTAACCACCATGATTCATTTTTTGCTTGTTTAAAAAAGCCCGCCGTCTTGCCAAAGCGCAGTGGACATTAGTGTGGTATTTAAGATCAAATGCTTACCGTGAAGATTGGAAAATGGGCAATATTTTCAGAATGTACATTGTACATTTACTTCACTTTGGAATGTGGTTTAACGTCTCGTCAACACAGTATTTCGGTCATTTTGAGAGTAAAATGCGATTCATATTCATGCAATGCTTGAAATGGGAATTGTGGTGTACAGCTGCATTTCCGCTTACTCTTCATTGAAGTCCAACTGCCTAGGGTTCCTTTACACGTAAAGGTCAATGTGTACGCGGGTGAACTTTCATTTTTCGTCCCATATAGAAACAAATAGGCAGCACTTGACCTGTCAGCTTCAACGGATGCGCTACCCATGACAAATGGGATTACCGGGTTCGAAAAATCCCAAGATTCTAGTCTTGTCTTCAAACTCATTTTATAATAATAATTATAATATCTATAAATATATATAAATACTGACCATTGTTGCCAAAGTAATACTGAGACCAAGTTGATGATATTGCAGATACAATGATCAGCATAAACAACAAATGGTAAGCGTTCATCTTGTTTGCTATACCCTCTGAAAAAATAAATTCAAACATCTATTAATAATGCATAAACATTTCATAAAATAGTTACACAAGACATATTTTAAAAAAAAAGTTTTTTACATTTAATATATTCAGTTTTTAAATGAATTTTTTTTTGTTATCCGAGTCGAGAGAGAGAGAGAGAGAGAGAGAGAGATAGACAGAGAGATAGGTCATTTCGGGACTAACATGGTTCAAATTTATTTCAATAATTCGCTTGCGCGGAGAGGTCTTTAGAAGTGGGAGGAAACCGGAAAACCCACGAGGTTGGACAGGCGACCCTACTCCCTGTCACGTACAATCGGGGAATCGAAACCACGCCAGTTGACAGACCGTATGATACAACGCGCACGCGCTAAGCACTCGGCCATCCACCACCCCTCCCCCCGGTGTGAATGAAGGTGTGACTGATATACTAGAGCCTAATATTACCATTTCAGTTAAACTTCTTGTAAAACTTCATCGCGTAATTTAAATCGGTATTATCAAATACCGTCGAAATAGTGCCATGTGGTGTCCGACTGTTGGGTAAAGGACGAAAATAAGTGAGACATAACATCGTTTCGCGATAGAAATCTTATTTTGATCTAAGTGGTCTTATTAGGGTATGCAACTACATAACACTACGTTTGTAAAGAATTTAAATGTTTTCTTCATATTCGATAAAGATCGCCGATTCATTGTAGAACGAAACTTTACCTATTTGCTTTAACACCTTCAACAAAGAACTGTCCCGTCTATCGGAATTTTCCTTCCGTCAATACGTTGGATACTTTTATGCTCAGGAGATCAGCTCAGCTCGCCGTTACCAGTTGATGTCTACACTAATAAGCCATCCGCTCTTTTATATATATATATTTTATAAAATAAATCAGTCTGTTTGGACACTTTAACTTTTGCCTTTATCTAAAATTTGTCAAATAATGAGTGAGTATGAATGATGATAGATAATGAGAATTGTTATAATAATCCGGATTTTATTTTATCATAACGTGACATATAGAGCTAGACTGTTCTCTGATTGTGGATGAGCTACTTGTATGTTTCAGGCCAATATAGTAATTAATTGACACAATGAACTAGTGACCCGATCTTAGTTTTCGTTTAATGGTCGACGTGAACTACAACTCGTCAAAAAAATGAGGAACATTTTGATGTATCCTGGTAGGTCAGCCCGGTCCACTATCGTCGTTGGGTCACCAAAAATATATATATTTACAGGGGAAACAAACAATTATTTTAAAAAGTTAAATAAGGGAATGCAATGCTTCTAATCACGTTTATATTAAAGATTTATTATGTAAGATTTAGATAAAGAGCTTGTGGTTCTTGCTATAAAAGTTGCTGTCATTATATATTAACTATCATGGGTTCTTTTACGAGCAATTTCAAATTAATCCTACCTCTTTTTACAGCCCATTCATTCGAGGTGAGGTGGAGTGTACTACGAATGTTCATAGGACTTTTGCGTAAGATTTTGCCAATAAAATATAATATATATATTTGTAATTAACTATTCACCAGAAAATGAATAACAACACACGGATGCTTGTTAGACCCTTCTCCACACTCGTTGCTGCTAGTGGCTCTTGCACCCGTTCGTTCTTGAATTAACGTTATAGCGTTCTGCTGTCAACCATGGTATATCGTCGAGGCTTCCTAAGTTTTTTAAAAGCCACATTTTATACCCAATGCCTGCACCATAAAATCGTGATTTTCAACATTCACTTTCAATTCTGTGGGATTAATTTTTTGTGTTTGAAATTTAGAATTATTCATTTATAAAAGTGGTATACTTTCACTCCGTCTTAGTTAAGTTAGTTTTACCCCTACCTGAGTTTATCATATCAAATATTAGTTTCATTCCAGAAACTCAAATTGTAATTATACCTCTTTATTTTATTAGTCGATTGTTCCAAGAAACTCGTGTATGTAAATATAAAACATATCTATAATAAAAGTCATTTGTCAAAAGCCATGTGGCATGGTTTAAAGCTGGGTGCCAGCCAAATTATGTCTGGTTTAAAGTTAATTAAGGACGATTTTGACACACTGCTTTGTCGCTCTAGCAAACACATAAGTTAAGCGATTATATTTAATTTGAGTCGCCTATCGCTATGTGTTTAAAAAACATAATTATGACAAAAATCAGTATAGGGGATGGTAAAAGTTACGAATTTTGTTTCCGTTTTCCTGCAATTTTCGTTAACATAAGGAGACCTTTGGGTACTTGAACTCTTATTCAAGAAGTCAAGATTTGTCACTCCGTGACGTAATATTACCTTGACAACCATCTGCCAATGACTAGAGTTTGTTTGAAAACGTGGAATTTGTGTTACATGATTCTAACAAATTACAACTCACACCAATGACTCTATTGACTTCTTAGACATTAAAATGACAATGGCGTGATGCCTGGCGTGTGTCCACTTCTAATGGACACTGGGCAAACATAATAGAAGATCAACGATTTTTTTGTTGATCGGGGTAAAGGTTGTGACAGCCGTGTCCATACACCCACAGGCAATATGCTTAAACACCGGGTTCAACGTCTACACGTTTCTGTCAAGTTCTCTGACGTAACAATTATTCAAATAGGAGGAGAAGGAAATGGCTCAAGTCGACTATAAAACTACACCAATGCTTGTAATATTTAAAAATTGAAATAGAAAAAAAACCCAAAGCCACGGGGTGTTTTACATTGTTGCGAACTCAGAAATGTACGAATGCCGAAATACTCTCGTCAAATCGACTGTTTGCAACCTTTTTCAGGTCTGTAAACGTTGAATTATGTTAGACCCTATTTTGAATTTCGAAATTTCGGCAACCAACTAATTCAAAAACGATGTACACCTAAAAACTTTCGTGGGATTTAGTGTTCGCGTTCAGAAGAATATTTAGGATTTCGTTAATAATATTAAATCAGTATAGAAACAGTGGTTGGTGCAATATCGAACCTTGTGAAATCCCAATAGGCAGATATATATATATTTGTCCATATTCAATGCTTACTAAAGTCAGTAATTTGCCATATTGATGTAATCAGTTAAGCCAATTCTGAGCACTGCAATATGAAAAATGGTTAAGAAAATCCCCTTGCGAAATCATAATAATTAAAAGTACATGAACAAATGTTTCTGAAATGTCATGACAGCTAGCTAGCTATAAAAACATTCTTTTAGATGTCTAAATGATAATATATAGCCTAAAGCCATCAACTAATTGACATATTAGGCCACCATAATCTGTCAAAACGGAAGATAAGGTGTCTTTTTTTTCTTTAAAACGATTTAATGTGGTGCTTGACATGATGTTCTTTCAGTGACTATCATTAAGAGACAGGTGTGATGGAGAAATTCGCGTACAGTCATCCCTTTCTCTTTCTTCAAACCAGGTATAATTCAGCCAGTCTGACTCTATAGGTGGTAGTTATAGTGAGACGGTGGACAGGGGTGGAGTAAGCGGGGGGTCAATTGGAGAATAATACCAGCTATTCTAATTGTATCAGATGATACAAAATCTTTAACTAAGATCACATAAGTTGCATTTTAACATTACGCCAAGTATTTAATAAAATGACAACCTTTGTACTTTGGCTATTGGAACAGCAGGGTTTTTGTTTTGCTTTGCATTTATCAATATTAAGAAATATAGAAAATGGAACTGGACTTTTCTTCTTAAACTGGGGGAAATGAAACGGGCGTATGCCATGGAGTGTGCTATAAAGGAAATTTTGTCCAGACAGCGATTAAAATCCAACTTTCAAGGTTTTTTTTTACGTGCACGAGTCATGGGGACCGGGCATACGTCACGCAGTGTGCTTTGGGGAAAATTTAGCCCTCACAGCAATAGATTTATGACATGCTACCAGTGAACAAATCCATGCGAAACTGACATGCGTTTTCATGCCAACGTAGTAGGTAATAGACCTTCTATTATTCTTCTGGTAGTTGAGTGGTAAGGGCCGGGATATCTCGATTAGAATGTTCTGGGTTCGAATCCCAGCGCAGGCCGACAACGTAACCTGGTTTCCACTAGTCATGGTAGAACATACGGGACGAAAAACAGAACTCCACACGTGTATATACAGGTCGGATGCACGTATATAACCCCTTTACATTTGGAATTATATTAAGAGAAGGCGACGGAAACCCATCTCCCCAGCAAAATTATGTCATGGTGGAATGGAAAATTGTTATTATTTTTGGTAATTTTAATATATTTTAATATATTTTAATATATTTTCCCGATATGTTAAAAAAATATGAAGATAATAACTTGGGTGTCCATAAATAGCTGCGAAAATTAGTTGCTGTGAGATATTAGTTTTCTTCCTAAAATAAAAGTCATTGAACCTTACTTGTTACGTTATGTAATACAGAATGGACAGTAGTATCACGCAACCATTTTACGAAGTGTCTTAGTACTAATTACACAAGACAATCGTGTTTCATAAACCCTCCCATCTCAGACCATCTGAGTCCGGTGTGAACAAGGAAATGCCAAATGATAATTTGTTAGAAAATAAAACAAAAGTATTATCTTATATTATTTTTGAAGTATGTACGTATAATTAATTCAAATTAGTTCTTAGAAATGACTTTTTAATTTTAGACTATAATATTTTCAAATTTTCCAGTTCCACAACTTTTATTAATACGATCTGTACTTTGTTAGTCTATGATAATAATTTAAATATTCTACTTCATCAACTTTTATTAATTAGAAAATAATTCCACGTTAGTACATGTTATCAATATACAGGTTTATTGAAAGCGACACGGTCCCAATTTCTGTTCGGCCAACACACAGTTTAGAAAATAACCCACTTTATTATTATTTTGTGTATCAGTTATGATCTATATATTTCATTTAATTTTCAGTAAATTCTTGAATTATTCTAAACTGTTATATATATGCCTCTTAAAGATTACTGTTATATATAGTTAAAAACAAAAACCCTGTAAGCTCGACATTGGTCATTATTTGAAACGAAAAAATATCAAATTTCGATACGCAACTTTGATAAGGGTTTTATGCAATAAACCAAAAGTTATGTCCATTTTCACGTCTTCGGCGATATCACTGGTTCGATGTATGACCATCTTTATTTTCGGCGGTTCAAGGCGGCGCGCGTGTGCCTGATTTGATTATGCAAGGTTTTCTAATGAGCTTTTGGTGTTAACGAGAGTGTTAAATTTACGGCAGAGTCCCCGTGGATTTGTTTATCGAGCACTGTCTTTGTTCTCGTTCCATCTGCACACTGATTTCTCCAACTTGTGGTGTTAGATAACATGTACAAAGACAATCTTCATCAATAACGTATACATTTTCTTTACTACCGATGCTTAAGATAAATGTTTAGAGATAGCATTAAGATAGGGGAATTATCCTCTAGATATCTTACAAGTATTTAGTGAGTACCGTTCCCAAGAGTGCCGAGCCTTACGGTTGAGTTTACTTTATTTTGTCATTGAGTAATGTTTTTACGTTTCTAGCATTACGGACTATTTGTCGGAGGAGAAATATTATATGGGTACTTTCACTATATCATTTTACACCATCCTGTCCTTTCTATTGCCCGGTAATACGTCATATGACGCAATCACTGGGAAACGCCCTTCCGAACGTTGGTCATGTTACTAAACCTTTTAAAACTCCGACACTCTTATTTGACTTCGTTTTGAATAATAATCTTTAAAACTTTCGGTAATGCATATACATGAATTTATGTGTGAAAATGCTCACCATAAACTGATATAATACATTACTTCATTCACTGAAACTTACATGAAATATTTAATAACACAACAATGAGAGAAAGAGAGAGAGAG